CAAACTAAAAAAATGCAAGTTTTAATATCATTTACCAGTAAACATATCATGAACTTCTAAAACAATTACTTTGAAATTACAGAAACATCAATGTTATTAGTTTAGATACAATTGAATTGGAAAAATGTATGTTACTGTTTACAATGATAAAAATAACAAATTCAAAAATATAATTTACGATTGGTTGATTTATTTTGTAATAGGAGTGTTCGGTTTAAAGGTTATAAGTAAAATAATTAACAACATGTATGTCTCCCAGTTAATGTCATTATTTTCTTTAAGAAGCATGTGCACACTAATTTCAGAGATTTGCGTCTCCAAGATACACACTTGATAGACCAAAAGAAATCGATTTTTTTCATCGACTGATGAACTTAGATCTCTCATTTGGACCATTTTGTGACTTTTACTTTTTTAACTTATCACTCTAGATTATCAGTTTTGGGCTGTAGTTTCTCTGTAACGTTCGAACTTATCAAATACACAATGAAATAACCCATGTTTTTCGATCTAGGTTGCCGCACCTTCGAAGAAAATCGCCCAGGGTTCTTGGAACTGCAGTCCCTGCGACAGGTGCGCCTTCCAGCTCAATTGCTACGCCAAATATCGGCACACGTGGTTCCTTAATTACAAGCTCTCAGACCAGTATTCCTCAGCTTGAAACGGCCGATGCATTTGCACCTCCGACCACCAGTCTTCAAGCTCACACTACTGACTCTGTTGAACCACAAACTACTGACTCTCCTGGAGAGCAAACGGTCGGTCCTCAGCCATTACCGCCCACTATAGCCAAGATAATCACAAAAGGATGTGTTAAATACGCTCGAAAACCATGAAGCAGTATCTTCTTGATTGATACCTTGCATCGAAAAGAAAATATTCGTTCCCTCCCGTTTAGAAGGTAGTATACGATTACTGAAGAACTGATGAAGACGCAAATAACTCCATATTTTGTAGTTATTCTAGGGAAATGCTGGACAAGGTGAGAGCGCTCTTGGGTAGCTGGCATCACTGGTAAAATTGTTGACAGTGCTCTCACCCTGTGTAGTAGGAAAGTAATTGCAGTTGACATGACGTGCGTGAACTGGCGACAGAGCGTTGTGGACTGCGTATATATGAAACAAATAGGTGGTGCAAGTGGAAGATGACAGACGAGGTGCCCCCCCCCCTCGCAGAGGGGTAAAGGCTCATGGAAGACGCGAAACAGACACAAACACCAGGCTGTCAATTGGCATCTGTGAATAAATGCAACTTCAGCAAGTGAATAATTTTAGCCGCGTTAAGAGCAAGATTTCATTAGCATGCAGATGAAGCACAGTCTCGAATTTGCGTTTTTTTCTGTTGACATATTTTTTATGTCGAATATTCTTGAATGTACATGTATGTATGCAATTGGCACATATGATGCAATCGAAAGGGGAAACTCAAAGATATCGCATTGTAGTAATGAAAGGGAGATTGTGGATTCACTCACTATTCTGTTCTTCCAAACGAGATTTGTACGTTCAGCTTTGTTGCAGAGATATGTTGATGATTCCATATTAACTAACATTTCTGATATGCTGCACTAGATGGATACGGATTAGGGAACATATAATTTTACTGAAGGTGATTTTATATAACCAAATATTTAACTGTAATCTGTTAATTAAACTACTGAATGGCTTGTTGAGAACATTTTGTAAATAATTTTATTGACAGTTCTCCAGAGTATATATTCTTAAAAAAAAGGTTATACTTGAAAAAATTGGACATGAGAAATAAAAACTGCATTTTTCACACGTCTATGCGTTTTCAAGTAAGTGGCAGCACAAAACTCTATTTTGCTCATCCCTCTGTAAAAATAACATAACCGTGTTTTTACGAATTTTGTTTAGTATACTTAGGGAATTATATTTTTGGAATGTATGAAACATTTAACAATGCTACTACTTAGTAAGAAGTATGAAATGTATAAAACGGGTTCTTCTTAGATACTGTAATTTATATTACGCTTTATAAGTAAACAAACTTGCCTCGTGCAATCTTCGAGGCCTATCTTACATTCAAGAATAAGTAGTGCAAGAAAATGTATAAATGTTTGTAAAATACAATAATACTCGTACATAAATAAAATAATCGTAAGTAGTTTCCTTAATGCAAATGGACGCCATTTTTACTGTCATTAGAAACAGTTCAACCTCCGATTTTCATTGATTACAATGAATTTTTGAAAATGACTAAAGTTTTTCGATTATCGACGTCTTCCTAAAACTACAATACTGGATGTAGCATTTTTTCTTCAAATGAAAATTATTCTCCAAACTTACTTTAGTTTTGCTGTATTGTTTTGTTTCTTCCAAAAAGTATGGTAGTACTGGTATTTTTTATATTTCCCCTAAGTCGTCTATACAATATGTACCGGCAATTAGTACAAAACATTGCATTTATATGTACACGAGCTTCAGATAACGTCTGATAAAGTTTCTCAAAAAATCAAGTTTTCTGTGAAAATAAGCCCAAAAATGCGCATGCTCAGAAACACTGAATCAACACATTCTCTTAAACGGTTTCAAACTTTTTTTTTTCGTAGATAGTGCTAATGCACTGTTTAAGATGACATGAATGCAAGTTTGGTGTATTCTTTTGTTTTCAAAAATTACACAAAAGTAATTTTACCGAAATATTTAGCACGATGTTAATATTTACATTATGGGCATTTCCTGAATATTACCGCATTTGTAAGAACATTTGCTTAGAATAATTGCAAACTAAGTTTCTCGAAAACCCGAACGTTTTGGGTGAATGCGAGGGTCAAAATATGCATTTTCAGACCAAATGACATATTCTTCATTACGGCTCCAAATTTTTGAATGAAAATGTGCATATAGGAATAGATTTCACAATCTCTAATGTTCTTAAAGTCATGCCTTAATTCTACTGTAGGGATCCGAAACATTAAGGAAACGTAAAACATGTCTTTTACACGCCAATAGATGGCATCTGAAAACAGGTGGGCAAAACTGAAAAGATAACTCACACTGGGGATAAGGAAACAAAATAGTATGTGAAAATGTAAGCCATCTTGTAGCACCACTAGTTAAACTTGTGAGTACCGTAATAAGTAAATATTAGGGGAGTGCATTAGTTTTTGGAAAAGCTGATTAAAGTGAAGCCTGGGATCTGAAACTTTGTGAACAAATGTCGGCACGTGGTGGTGACCGTGATACGATTCAAAACTACTCAGTAGATTACTTTATAAGTAACAATTATACGTACAATCTATAAATAATTATTATAAATAATAATTACTTAGTCATAACAACTAATAACTTGAATTTATAATTATTATCAAACAGCAAATTATACTACTTATAATTTGCTGTTTGATGAACTACTATATGGGATGGATAATAGTGAAACAAGCGTGAAGAACATTTAGAAAATTGTATGAATTTTTCATTCGCTAGGAATACCTCATATTCGAATGGACTCAAGAGAAGACTTTTAGCCGCTCCGGGAGAGAAGTCAATATACTATATGTTGGTATTAGAGAGCATATTAAAAACCAATATGATGTCGGGTACGAAGGAATTTGGATATTTTCTGCCAGTAATTTGCGAACTCGAGCCCGGACGGATGCGTAAAGGGCCGAGTCACTGCGCCCAGCCCATCCCCAGTGGTCGCAAGTGTTCCTGTTCTGAACCGGCGAAGAAGATGCTTGTGCCCGTGGGAGGTCTTATTGATCGATCTGCCTGTCTCTTCAGATCAACGTTGAACAATATTTGGAAAGAGAACTATTGCAACAATGTTTTAATAATAATAATAAAAAAACACCAGTAGAAGGCACAAAAATAACTATTTCACTTCTTTACGAAAATGTGAATACTATTCTCTGAAAAGTAAAGTAAGAAAACATCAATGTAATTAATTGTATCACATACTCCTATTCATATAAATATTCCATTCGTTTAATACTACTAAATTGAATCCATTTGTCACTTTTTAATTTGAATTTAATCGGCTATGAAGGTCATTTGCATACATATGGCACATAGTAAGGTGTGAAGGGATACTTCTATTTATTACTGTGAATTGATGTTCTAGCAGACACTGCAGCAATACAGCAAGTAGAGGTTTCTGTTGTATTTAATATCTCATAATCATTTCATTGTCCCACTTGAACTTCCCAAACTTATATAGAACTTTTCAGCAATTTCAATTGTTTTTTTATTCTGAACTGTTGAATTTTGGGAGAAATTAAAAAAAATAAAAATAAAATAAGTCTCAACATGATTTTTAACAAATTTAAAATATACATCAAATGAGAGTATCTTTTGTTCTTTAATGTCGCAAAATATTAAATTTCTGTCACAATTACAAGTTAAAAATGATTAACTTAAGCAATGTGATCATTTTCCCAAAATTTTTAAAGAATTCATATAATCTCGAAAAATATTTAAAAAAACAAAAACCAACAAAAAACAAGCGTTTCATATTTTTCATTAAAAAAATAAAAAATAAATAAATTAAGCACATAACAAGTTCCAATTTTTCAATATGCTGAGAGTATGCCAAAAAAAGACCAGCACTAGTTTCTTTACAGTTCTTTGCTACAGACTTGAAATTTATCATTTACACACTTAATGTAAGCAGTTTAAAAAATTGTTACCGCAACACTGCATTTTGCAAGCAGACATTGCCTTCACTACTTCATAACCTTGTACTTTTTCATTTACATTGTGTAGAGAAAGTTGTGTAATTCGACAAAAAATCATTCAAGATTTTAAAGGAAATGCATGTCTTGCAAGTCCCTAATGAATATAAAGCTCATAAAATATGAAATACAATTATCCTCTAAATTTTGAAGACAGAAAATATATTCATGAAGAGTAAAAAGAATCAACTAAGACAAAATGTGCAATGTACCCCTACAAAATGTGTTGTTATTAGCATATCAGAACATTCACTACCTGCAGAACAAATTTGGCAGATGTATAATGAAATTGTAATACAAATATCAGAGAACAGGTACACTTTATTCAAAATCATTATTAAATATTAATACAAAAATAAATTTAAAATGATACAGATTGGTTGCATGTAAAATGCAGACTGGTTTGAAATCTGAGGAAACACACAAAATGTTCTATAGCTACAAATCTTTCTCATAAGCTTTTTAAATTGCCTGTAGTAGAATGTCACCAGTGATAAGTATGTAATTTGCTACTTTAACTCATTTATTATTCTCACAGAATAATAAATTTTAATGGCTAAATGCTGTATACTACCACTCTTTGAGGAAACACTCAAGCTGTAATTAATAAAAAACAAAAAAAATAATTTTCTGACATATGGGCTGAGTTGGTAAATTTGTTCGAAATAAAAGGCAATAGTTAATTTCAATTGTTAGCCTAGTTTTGTTCTTCGCAGGTATAATAAAAAAAAGTAAAAGATTATAATATCATTGTTACTTCTATGTTTCAACCTTTTCCAATGTGTCATACAAGTCTAGCAAAAACTGAAATGATGGGTGACACACCTGGGAAAAATTGACATGGAATGGCCCTCTTCCATAATTAAGCCTTAACACAATTTGAGACACCAATTTTATGGATAACTTCTTTCATGCACAAAATAGATACACAACCAAAATGTTAAACAAATTTTTAATCCAACAGTTAAAAATTTATTTTATTATTCTTCTATATATTTGATTTTTGAATTACATCGACAAAGAATTATTTTTCGTAAGAAACTTCACAAATTTTATGTACATATATACAAGTAAAACCCACCACTCTTTGCCTTTAGTAGGTGCACAACAATATGACAGCTCCTGCAAATTTTGCACCTATTAATTTGTGTCAAAGAATTGCTATACCAATTTGACAATATCACAACAGAAATTATTATGGGATGTTTGTTGAGAACACACACAAGTTCAGTGCTCTGAAGGCTTAATGACCATGAAAATATAGATATTTCGAAGACTAATCTGAAGTTACATTGTCTGCAACATCTGAAAGAAAACAAAAATTCAATCATATTACACATGTATGGATCAACAATTGAGATACATATAAAACATTCAAAATTACCTTTCTTTTTCAAGAGATTAGATGGAATAGAAAATGGATTAAATCCAGATAATTTGGCCAACTCTTCAATACATTTCTCCTTTGAATACGACAATGCAGCAATTACATCATCTTCTGAAGCAGGTGGTCTTTTAGAGGTGTTAATTTTCAATGGAGATTTCATATGTTCCACTATTCCAGACCAATTTCCATTTTTAACACGACTAGCAAAATTCTTCAGAGTTTCTGCAAGGAATGTTGCAGTGGGCTGGTTTAAATGTTTTGGAGGATACCCACACAGCATGAAATACATATATTCATACAAGGCCTTGAAGTCCACACCTCCACACTCAGATGGATCCGGGTGTTTCTCATATTTCCAGATTAGTAACATAGCATGAGCAATAGGATTAATTTTATAATGGTCATAATTAGGATAAAAATTTGCCAATTCTTCTAACCATTTATCAACTGGTCCAAGGTAACCACTATTTTCACCCTTTGATTTTCTTGTTTCCCTGAGGTGAGCTCTAAGTTCTGTCCGTGCCATCTTCCATCTTTTAGCTATAAACTTTCTAATTTCTTCCTCAGTTTTTCCTGGAACAGACTTAATAAGCTGGTTAATATCCAAAATACCATATCGCTGCAAAGCAACTAATAACCGTCTCTTATCAACTTCTCTCCAAGAAGCCTCAAAGGCACTTGCATTATTGTAGCGAGGCAAGAATGCTGGGTCTCTTTTCCTTTTGACGCCCTTCCTTAATTTAACTGGAGTTTTCTTTTTCTTCTGTGAATGTGACGGACCGGCTGCAATTGTATCAACATCAGATAAGATCTCATCTTCTGACAGACTATCATTATCTTCCTCTATTGTATTAACATTAAATCTTGGTTCTTGTCTTGCCCTTGATTGCCTCGCCTTTCTAGGGGGGTTTCTTTTTGGAGATTTTACACTCTGAGAACTAGATTTCGCAGGAACGTCATGTTGCATTTCTTGGATTTCTACTTCTCCATCCGCATCCTCCTCAGAACTAGAATACGTAGGTGCGTCTGTTTTTTGAATAGTTTGGACTTGTTCTTCATCCATATTTAACTGAGTAATTCAAACGCACTGACAGGATAATACGAAGGCACTAATTATCTAAACTAAGGCACCAATATATAACTTTCACTAATTATCATTAACGAGCATTCACCAGACTAATAATTCTAATCCACGCCCAAGTCACTACTAACAATGAAAAGTATTAGCTGTTCACTTTATAACGACACGTTCTGTCACACTACATCCTACTATTCTTTAGTACACACTACACAAACAAACAGACTACCCGTGCGCACGAAATACACACCAGAACGTAACACCAGTGTTACCACTAATTCGGTGAACGAAACCAGTGTTCTCAATTATATAATATAGACAGCAAATACTACTGAGACCCAAACAAACTCTATAGTATTTGACTGAACCGAAACAAATGCGCAATTCAGTGATACCAATATTCAATTTTTACTCTGGTACATTTACTTTAATAAAAATAATTTAATAAAACTTCCGTCAACATGGAAATATTTATATAATAAATAATAATAATAATAATAATAATAATAATAATAATAATATTTATAATAATAATAATAATAATAATAATAATAATAATAATAATAATAATAATAATAATAATAATTATTATTATAATAATAATTATAATAATAATAATAATAATAATTATTATTATAATAATAATAAATCAACATAATTTATGAATTAATATTAAGAAATTATTTTGGATGTGATTTACTGCCTATGGCCACTATTGACTTTGAAATAATCATCTAACCATGGAACTATGTTAATCTATGTTTATACTCTATAATATCTGTGCACATTGTTCGAAAACTACTATTATTAATCTATCGATTTAAACTAGTGTCTCTTGACGTAAATCAACTGTTACGGTGTCATCCAATCGGCAGCTTGAATGACATCTACAGTAGTGACGTTTAAGATCCCCATTGAATGATATCGTAAAAGCTTATTAAACGTCAACAAACTGTATATATAAATCGAAGTAAGACAACAGGGTTGACCTTCAGTTGCAAAGTTAAAGAGAGAGCAGCTGCTGCAGAGATCGCAAAAAACAAATTAAAAACATTAAGAACCTATCCATCAAAACCGCATTGCGACTATTACACGCAAAAAGTCCCCCGATAATGACCTACGGCATTGAATAAATTTGGAAACATCTGGGGAAAAAATCATCGAAAAACATCAAGGCCACCTATCTGAAAAAAGCAGCACGCGCCCCAAAATACTCTTAGATTAATATATGCCCTGACCAAAGAAACCTTCCGAATAGGTAGGTAACATAAGGTTACATTTCTCTCTACCAGACACCGAAGCACACAGCGCTCGCTGTCGGAGAGAATAGAAAAGAGATACCCAATATACTGGGATATATTTAACAATGCACTTGACGTTCGGAGTTTCATCCAATCGGGAGCTTGAACGTCCCCATATGACACCCCCCCCCCCATGGGAATATTTCCACGACGGTGAAACGTGTGCAAACTTTGTGAAAAAACACATCCAAGACACCGTATAACATCTTGCCGAAAATGAATCAAAACTCTGGCAGAATTTTGTGGAATGCGTGTGAAACGAGGCCAAATAAGTGCTACGTAACTTACATTTAACTAACGCGCTATTGCGTGCCCTTTTGTTATTTAAATATAAATGGAAGAATTACATTTTTCTTAAATGGATTCATACTTCGATTTTTATAACGTGACGCGTCAGAGCCTGCCTTTACGATGAAATATCTCACGGTATTTCGCATCTTTCTCGATCGTGCTTGCCTGACAATCCAAAGCCTTCGTTAATAACGAAGACTCCGACACATCGCCATAGGTTAACCAAGATCATCTCGATATGCGACCGAAACGCCTCTAGATTAACACATGACATTACAGAGTTGGTGCCTCTTCGAATGTTAAAGCACTATCAATCTACGCCTGCGCCATTCACGTTTCGCACCACTTTTATGTATCTGCGCATGCGCAGAAGATCGATAGTGCTGTCCTAATGGCAAGCACAATCTCCCTAATATCCTTGCATGACATCGCACTGCTTGAAAAGGTCGCAATCACGCGACACCTAGCGGTACGACCGAGAAAGACGCGAATTTCGATATTTCATCGTAAGAAAAGTTCTGACGTGCCACTTAATACAAGCCGTATAATACATTTTTTTTGAACACGCATTCGATTGGTGGTTATCTCCACAATGAACTGGCTATAAGTGTCACCGCATGTGGTGATCCGGCGTGAGCATTGAGTAGGGCGTGAGTGAACGTCAAGTTCCAGTGATTGTGTTTTACTTTTATAAATTGAATTGAAATAATACTTCACTTTATGACTAATTATTGTTGGGTGTGATCAGAAAGATATTATAATGGTGGTATGTGTTCAAGGATAATATATTTTGACTGACAACTTGGAATTTTGTTTTTCTCTCTATTTAAAGTTAAGTAATACATTACTGTTGTTGCAGAAAATAGCACTGCAGTTCAAAGCAGAATTAGAAAATCTGGAAAAATTGTATGTTGATCCAGAAACGTTTACATGGTGGTTGCAGGCAAGTATAACATAAATTCTAGGAATTTGTTGTAAACTGTGGATTCATAAAAAAAACTCGCGCTTTAGTCATTGTGATGTGTTTAAACAATTTTTTTTCTTTATTGTAATATTTAAAAGCAAGTTGTAAATAGAAGTATTGTAAATTTTGTAAGTAAGGATTTTTTTTTGTTTCAAAATGCATGATAAATACAATACAGTGTTCTTGTTTTAGTTCTATTGTTTGTCAATGATAATGATCCTTCTGCGATTATTATTAAGGTCTCTCGTTATTACTGGAAAAACCTTGTTCATGTGGGAGAAGTTTTAGAAAATTAAATTTAATATGGTCTGTTGAGGGTTACTAGTACTTGTATTATTTGGGAATCCAAATGGTAAAATGCAATATTTTTTTTCTTCTTATTGTCCAACAATCTGTTTTATAAAGTGAAGTATTTACTTTCATTAATATGATGATCATAACATTCAGAGGTAGGAAATGTAACTTTTCCGAGGAAAAAATAGTTTATAATAATTAAACATTCCGAGTCTGATCTCAAATCAGGGCAATGCTAGATAATTATTGATTTCTTATTACATTCATTTTCTTGTAAAATGTTTCTGTATGGAGTTATTAATCGAAGGTACCAAATAGAATGTCTCAAGAATGGAAATGAAAACTTTTACATTCTTCTTGAATAAGTATTGAATTCAATAAAACTAATTTTTGAATGTGATTTTGGTGGTTTTCATGCAAGTGTGTGTCACAGCATCATTTTCAAGAAAGTGTTCTGCTTATTTTGAATTTGATGGATTTGTAACAACCAACAAATACTTTAATTGCGTATTAAACTTCATGTTGACCAAATCTGATGATATATTTTAAGTTTGCTGCAGAATTCATTGACGAGTGAAAATATAGTGTAGGATTATCTCCTCATTGGAATATAAGTCACCTCTGACTCTTAATCTTTTCTTATGACTTCTTTATTGTGACCTTTTTTTAACCTGATACACTTCTTTTGTTGTTTTCTAGCTTGTGTGCACCAACTGTAGAGAAGGCACAGGCAAAGTGCACGATGTGAGTTTAACTCATCAGATTCCGTGCAAGATTGGTCATGGACATGTTCATTATTCTGCAAAATGTAAATTTTGCTCAAAGGAACAAACCATAGGTATTGTTATAGTGTTATTAGTGTAGGTATTCTAAAATGCATTTATATCCTGGATTGTAATTTTTTGAAAACCGGTTGCAGAAATAATACCAGATTCCATTAAACCATATGTTAAAGGAGATCCACTCACAAAAGTAGTTGTTTTTGAATGTCGTGGAGTGGAACCTTCACAGTTTGAACCTCGGGTAAGCAGTGCATTCATTCCGTTATTTCTTCTGTTTTATGTTCAATAAAGAGAGACACACTATAGTTATTTCCGTACAGAATAAAATCTTAGTTATCCTCTTTTAATGTAAATTTTAAAATTACATTGTGTATAGAACGTTAGTGCCAATTTCATCATTTTTTTTTCAACATAATCATTCAGTGTGTTAGAGGAGTTAAACAGTGGCAGTTTATAAAGATTGGTGGCTCATAAAATAATAACCATGAGGAGTGAATGGTCATGGGGACTGAGTTTGTATTGGTAGAGAAGTATGAACTTGTTTTTTTATGAACGACCACCTTGAAAGCACTGACAAGTCACTGATACTGTATTTAAGTGCAAGTGTGTTAAAATATGTCTGAAAATATAATTCAGGTAAATAGACTTAATGACTTACTTTGAACTTGGAAACTTTATTGAAGTGAAACTACAAAAGATTTGAAATTGTTACAATCTATTGAATAGACTTGCCTAAGATTTAAAATGCAATTAATAACGATTTAGAGTATTAAAGGTTCTTTGCCATTATTACAAATATAAAAAAAATACCTTTGTTGCCTTTTGGCATATGTTTGCAATGTTCTGACAGAATTAAGTTTTGTGTGTTGATGACTGCTGAACTTGAGTTTTTAACAAATATAAAAAACAAAAAATACTTGTAGCAAGTAATATTATACTACTTTTCAGATTGACTGTAAACAATTTACTTTTAGCATTGCTGCTTCATTGTTTCCTCTAAAATATTGACATATTAATTATTGAGATGTTTTGTTTTAATTTCTACTTCCAGGATGGATGGATAGCCAAAGCAGAAAACAGTTCTTTGATCTTCAATGACATTGATTTGAAGGAAGGAGATTGGGCTGAATATGATGAAAAAGCTCAAGAACCAGTTGGCATTGACTCAATTGAATCCAATTTTGTTAGAAGCTAGTCATTTTTCTATTGTATTTTTATGCAATCTCTCAATATGTTTTCCATATTGTATAATTCTTGTTAAGAATTTACTCGCTTGACTGTTACGATCTTTTTTGAAATAATGAATTGGGAAGTTTCGTTATTGTATTTCAGAAATACTGAATAAACAACTTGCTTCCAAAATGACATGTTAATCTGAATTTAGGCATGTTTCAGTAAAATCCAAACTCCATAAGATTCCTGACCTGTTAAATAAAAATGAATTACAAGCCTCCCAAATACACTTTCACTTTTTTATTTTCTGGTGATAGATAACTAAAGGAATCTGTTACAGTGTATATGTGTGTAAATGTGTATAAAAAAACCCTAGATGATTCAGAACAAAGATTGTCTACTGGAGTATGAATGCCATTGGAGCAGGTTTCCCCTCTGTGAGAATGGGCTCAGAGGAACAGTGGAAGCAAAGCAGGGTCGGATAGGTATCAAAGTACTATTATTACTATTACTATTCATATACATATCAAAGTACTATTATTATTATTATTACTTTTATTATTATTGTTAATATTCTTATTGCTTTTATTATTAATATTACTATTACTTTTATTATTATTATTGTCATAATTATTATCGTCATGGCCCTTTATACAGTGAAGTGATGGAGTTTGTAGTGGTAGTGAAGGGAGGCGTGTAGTGTTAGTGTTAGTTGAATTGTTATGTAAACTAGAAGTGAATTTTAGAGTAGCTAGAAAAAAATTGGAACTATTATATCGACTCTAATTCAATAGTAAACCTAATTGTAATGTTAAAATTGTTTCTGAATTCTAATTTATGTTAGCATGTTTGCCACCGAGCATTAGCTCAAAGCGAACTTTAATAAATCTATCTATCTATTTATTTAAAGGAAGTCTGCAGGGTGGCCATTGCCTTTTCTAATGCTATTGCTTCAGGCTCCATAAGTGAGGAAGACCATGTATGCCCATTTGGTTCCTTTCTATTTGAGAAGAAAAGTGTCCATGGAATCTGAAGCAATGGTGATAATACTGAAACGTTTGAAAGAACTGCAATATGGTCGGAAATTCAATCTGCAGAGGTATTTGTACAAAGAGTTTAAAGAAGAAAATTGAGCAGTTTGTAAATAAATCTTGTTTTAAATGTTTTTAATACTGCTCATATTTCACTCAACATTGCAGGCAAACTGCTAAAATTAAAAAAAAGTCTCCTTAAGCCCTCCCTCAACTTACGCTAAGCGCTCTGCTAGAAATTAATAAAACTTACGGATAAGCATTTTTATGGCGGTTTGGTTTTAAAAATAGGTCATTACTAATACCTGAATCATACTAAACTTTCTGCGAACCATGGCCCCTTCCGCACTTGAGGAGTGGTTCCTTTCTTTATGCACTTTCACTTGAAACCATCACACAACTCCTTTCGCTTGGCCAGCCTCATCAGACACTTACACACAGGACACCTAATTAATGCAGCAATCAAACAACCTTGCGCCCATTCAATGACAGCCAAACACCCCCTTCGGCGCGACGCGTAAAAAAGGCCACATTTATTCTCACCATCGTAGCACACACACTCGACACTCAAAATACACAAATCACAAAGAATCTGAAGAACGCAAGAGACTAAACTGTACGACGGCAATGTAGCTAACCACTTTGACAGCTATCCCGACACGGAAAATCGCGTAGACAAAACACGTGCCACTACACACCATTTCGCAATGAAGTTTCGACAAGATACTAGGGTGAAATCCCTCCCCCCCCACTTTTGACGTCACGTTTGTGACCAATTACGAACCATCAAAATTATTTCAGAAGTGAATTTTTTACAATTTATTTAAATCGCGCGCGCGGCTGCCTCGCCGGTGAACCCGCTCACGCTTTCCTTTTTATATGTATGTACTAGGTTACGCATATTGCTCCCCACCCCTCCCCACCAAAATGTTCCCCTCATAATCCCCTAAACACCCCTGACCCCTCCACCGTGGAATACCCCTCGCCGGAGCGGCGGGAAGGGCCGGTTTATACGACTTCCTTAAATTGTACCGTACACTAGACTTCAGTCGAGAAAATGTTCAAGATGTTGCAAGGGCATCATGTAAAGTATCCCCAAATTTGAAAGTGTTTTTAAAAATTGCAATGCTTTAAGGCGATCTTGATCGTCTGGGGTAAATCCTGCGTATGTCTTAGGCGCTACCGGTGTTCACTGAAACACACACACACACACAAAACCCTTTCGGTATCAAGGTTCCACAATTTCCGAAATCTGACTTTATAACATTGCAATTACTACCAAGTTGAACTTGATTTAGCCATGTGTAATTTATGCTTTGCCTTATGATGCTAAATAATTAAACTAATTTTAAAAGTAATGAATAATGAATATGCAATTTGTACATGTAACCATTTCATTTGTTAAGAGAACTTAAAGTTTTGAAGTATGTAAGTTTCTTGGTCTCAGGTTTAAAAATAGACTTTGAGGTTTGTTACCAACCTAATTTATTCTTTGACACAATTTTATTAAATGTTATTTGTATTGATTGCGATAAGACAGCATTGGGAATGATAAGATCTGGCGGAAAAGCAAAAATATTAGAGCAATGGGGGTAAAAGACGTTGAAGATACATTTATTCATAATAATAATAATAATAATAATAATAATAATAATAATAATAATTCAAAGAGATCTAGAAGAGTGGCAACAAAGGCAATTCACGGCAAATTACCTAAAGCTAGTCATGAACCTCATGTTGAAACACAGACCTCGCTGCAATGACTATCGGCTAACAGAAGGATTTATAATGGCAATTCAAGATAGAGCATGCCGAACTAGGAACAACAAGAAACATTGCATGAACATGCCCGTGGTTGACAAATGCAGGAAACGCGACACCTATGGTGAAACAATGGCTGGACGTACTGCACTTGCCGACAGCGCGTACTTAGGGAGACACAACCAACTAGCTAATACTGTCCATTAACAATTGGCTCTCAAGCATGGAATGTTAAATAGTGGAGCTCCTCCGTATAATAAATATAACCCTGTACCTCTAATGGAAGTAAATAATATCATTCATTTACTGAGACAGATCATATATAATAAAAACATAAAACTGTGGCCCTCAATAGACCAGATATAATTTTGATTGTCAGGGAGAAGAAAGAAGCAATGCTTGTTGATATTGCCGTACCTTTGATACACAACCTAAATAAAACGGAGGACGAGAAAATGACTTAAGTATGAAGATCTTGTTCTGGAAATAAAACAAATGTGGAAAATATAGAGTGTAACAATATATCGACTTGCTATTTCGGCTGAAGGTGTAAAAACACACAATTTCAGGAAAAATCTAAAAAAGAAAATGGGATTACCTCAACGAATTCTAAATTACGGACACAAAGCAGTGATCCACCAAACAAGTCATATAGTTGCAAGTTTCTTGAAAAAATTAAGGCTCTCCTTATCGAATATGGGTCAGAGTGAAATCTCTTTCCCCAGTGACGAGCTCTTGCTTTAACGTGGCGAGGAATGGGCAATTAACCCCAGCACAAGCTGGTGAGAAAATAATAATAATTGTTCTTCCGCGACCTTTGTTCTCCTTTTGAAAAGTAGTGTTCAGTATCTCTGGAATTCCCTCTTCTCGCTTGATGCATCACGTCAGTCGTCCAAAGGTCATCGATGATTTTCATGCCTTTACCAGCAGCTCCTTCACGGTCAGCAGGGGTTGTTCTCAACATGATCTTTTCTGTAAGACTGAAGATTTTGGTTCAGACCCTCAATAATCTTCCTCTGTTCCTTCTAATCTTCCTGTTTTTCTAGCTGTTGAACAGTCTCGCATTTTTTCATCATCCTGCTCCCACTCGTAAAACTTTATCTGCCAGGGGTGGCGAGTAGTCCGCACCCTTGGCATCGCAGTCGCTGGGTGATGACGCCCGGTGGCCTGCTTGCTCACCACTGACCGCCGGTACTAGGGCCCCGATCCACTGCGCCGTAATGGTTGATCCTAATAGACCTTCCATCCTGGGTTTTTTCTTCACGGTAACCTTCCCTCAGCGTGTATGAACTACCGGCAGCTAAAAGGGAAAGGAAGACAAGAAGGGACAGCGAGAATAGAGTTAGAATGAAAGAGAAAAGAAACGACTTCCTAGTCCAACTTAATAGCGAGGGGGTCGAAAACACAAGAGTTGGCCGATACGAAGATTAGCCTACAGGACAGAAAACAGAAGTGTGTCACTAGTAAGGAGAAGCAATGACACATCAAAATTGTGAGAATTACTGGATGTTTAGGGAAGCGACAGCTGCTCCGATTAGTCGCCTTCTACGACAGGGAGAGGTCCCATGGTGCTATTCTACTAAAAACCCCGACACCACACGCAGGAGTGAGAAAAACAAGGAGAGAAGAACTCCTGATTGAGTTGAAAAAAATAACGCTGATGCATTCAGGAAAATAATGGCTAAACCAGTGACAGAACTCTCTGAGTTGCAACTTCTGAGACCAAAGGTAACGCTAGAGGTAAGGGATATCGACGAAGTGACAACCAAAGAGGAAGTCATAGCGGAGGGGGAAAACGTGCTGGAGAGGAATGAGTCGAGAATTGATATTGATCGCGCACTGCTGAAAGGTTATACCTGAATGCAAACAGCCTTAATAAGGGTCTTAGAGAAGATTGCCCACGATATTCTCAAGATATCGGAAGAATAAGGCTAGTGAACTGTGAAATTAGAGAAAGAATTCAAGTTCGTCGTTGCTTCGGATGTCTGGGCTATTACCATGTGGGCAGGGGATACAAGGGACACGACAGAAGAAACTGCTGTTGGAAATGTTGTAAAGTAGGGCATACTAGGAAAGAATGCAAGGATAAAGAATGTTGCGTATCTTGCAAGGACAAAGAAGTTGAAGACGGACATGCGGCTGTAGGCGGCAAATGACCCTTATTCAGAGAATCCCTTCTACGATTGAAACAAAGGACTTATGGATTTAAAGTTCCTGCAGATAAATCTGGGTAGAAGCCCGGGAGCTCAAAATTTACTGATGCAGGTAGCAAGTTAGAATAATATTGACATGCTACTTCTTAGTGAACCAACCGTCGACAGGATAAACGAGAGGAACTTGCAGAAAGCATAGGCGAATCCAAAGAGATGTTCTGGAGACTGGAGACTTCTATGGGAAATCTCCCGAGTGGGGCGAAGAAGGATGGGCAGGAGAGGGGTCCTAATAAGCGAAATGATACCCCGAAACGACATGATGGTAATAAATAGAGGAGTTGCACCAACGTTCAATAGGGGAGCCGCCAAGTCAACAATTGATCTGTCATCGCCAAACCAGCGACTAGCAGGTCTAATTTAAAAAATGGAAGTCCTAGAGGAAGAGTCGCTAAGTGACCATAATTTATATATTCTATAGATTGTGGAAAGTCTCCAAACCAATCGTCTAAAAGACGAGAATGTTAAAAAATCCCTGACAGAATCTAAGTGCATAAAAGCTACTATAGGGAGTTCAACCCCAAACAATAGACAGTGTGGTAGACAGGGCTCGAACGGTTATCCAGGGGGCCTTCAATCTATCGAAATCCCTTTAGTCAGTTAGCAGTTATCGTAGGGGACCAAAATATTGGTGGACACAGGAAATACCCCTCCTAAGGAGAGATGTTTAGTACCCAGAAGATGTACAAGGGAGAAGGGGGATGAACATCTGAAAAGGGATTACAATGATTTGGAAGAGGAAGGAACTCAATCGCGCAATAAGAAGAAGCAAGGACATGTGCTGGAGAAAGCTGATATTATGTGTTGAAAACGATCTGTGGGGCATGCCTCACAAAATTGT